ATGCTCTTCATGTTTAATACACACACCAACCCCCCAACACCTTTCAACATAGCTTACTCACCAGAGGTACGATTGTTCTTTAAATCATTAGGGAGATAACTAGATTGTAGATCGTAACCTCCTTATTACTTATGTAAACAATTCTCTATACTTCCATTTATCATAAAATATTCAAATTAAATAATGAATGTCTTGTCTGATTTGATTAGAGAAATAGTATAAAGGGATGACAGTGTAGGTAATGTAACAGTGTAGATAGTAAGAAGGTATTATCTAAAATAGGGCTTGGCAATATGACTGAAATTACATTGAAACCACAAGTTTCGGACATCCTTCACCCACATGCCCCACCCCGGAACCTGCGGTCCTCAGACTCTGGCCTGCTTACCACCCCCCGCACCAAACTGCGAACCTACGGGGACAGAGCCTTCAGTGTGGCAGCCCCCACCCTCTGGAACGCTCTCCCTGCGGAGATACGCAACATCCCCACACTTGAAGCCTTCAAAAGGGCCCTCAAGTCCCATCTGTTTGCCAAGGCTTTCGGCCCCTAAATCGATCTGTTGTTCTGTTTGTCTGTCTTTTGTTTTGTTATGTTTGTCTTTGCACTATTACTTGTGAAGCGACCTTGGGTCCCCTGAAAGGCGCTATAGAAATTGAAGCTATTATTATTATTATTATTAAGTGTTTGGTAGAAATGTACTTAAGGAGGTCATATCACCTCTTGTCACCCTCCGTCTGAAACCAGAGCCCAGTCTGCTCTGATTAGTTAGCTGGCTGGCTCTGTTGTGATTGGTCAACTGCTTAGAAATATCCTGCCCCTTAGCTTGTCATGTACAATGTGTTGGAGCGCTAGCCAATAGAAGTGCAAGTGTTACATGACGATGACACTATATTATGGAAGGGAAAAAAAAGGAGTCCAATGGATGCGTTTCAGGCCGGGGGGGGGGGGGGGGGGGGGGGGGGGGGGGGGGGAGAGGGGAGAGATATTCCCTCTGGAGGCAACACAGGGATTTTAGCATTGTCAGACCATTGACATGCACAAAAACTACAGGGAAGGGAAAACCCCAAAAGGCATTACAACTAAGAAGAATATATTTTAAAATCAATACATATCATGACATATAGTCAACTCATTTTGTTCATATTTAATCAAGTTAGCTTGGTATCTCCCTCTATTAACGACATCATCATTTTGATACAGTCATACTGTTTAAAAGAGAATGCAACAAAAGTGTTCATTGAAAATAGTGCGGAAGTCATTAAAACATGTCCTTAATATCCCCTGTGACAAAAAAAGATTTGGATTTCTGTTCTCCTCAAATCTCCTGATACACATGATGTTTCAGCAACAGGGAACAGAACAGGGCTTCCTTCCTCTTTTGCTATAAAGAAGGGGGTACCCAAATAGATGGCAAAGCAGCAGACACCTCTCACTGGGAGATCCTCCTACAGGGCAGCCAGTATAATTAGCACTGTCAAAGGAGGTCCCTTAACAAGTATCACAGCCAAATTCATGAAGATGAATGATGTCACAAGATAGAGAAGGAACTGGGATATTTACTGGGACACAAGCTAGGTGTTGTTTAAAGTAGAGAGACAGCTAAATAAGTCATCAGTGAACACTTCAGAGGTATGCAACATCCACACTTAAAATGTCTCAAAAGGATTGGCCCTATGTTTTGTTGAGTTGTGTACATACATTAACCCAAATATTTCTAACCATTTTTTAACTTTTAAATAACAGTCAGTCCTTAAAATGCCGTCAGCATTTTTGTCTGCCACGACCCTGGATGAATAATGTTTGTATTCAGAGGTCTGGATCCTCAGTTATCAGAGAAACAATGTGACTTAACGTTAGCCTTTAGCTTGTAGCCAATCCAAACTGTGTCCACCACAAACACTGAATTCAACATCATACTTCTTTATTCAGTGTTTTACCAGATTGAATCACTAGGTCCATTATTTGAGATGAGGAGACCTGGTAGAAAAATACCTTCTGGACTTCTGGATATTTTGTGATCACAGAAACAAGATAAGTTTATTAACAGTGCTGAAATATGTACACTGAAAGAAACTAAAAAATGATGCTAATGGTGGTGGACACAACAACTCCCATTAATCAACAGTACTTCACAATATCACCAAACTCTGTGTTTAGATGTTGTTTTGATAGAGGGAGCCCTGGTAACAATCTTATCTGGTTATGATACTTGTGTGTGTCGAGACATTGTGTGTGATTCATAATATAGGTAGCACCATATGTAGCAAGAGAAATAGGACCAATGAGAAAGCATCAGAGGGTAAAGTTGTGAAAGAGAAAGCCCCCCCCTCCCCTTTCTTAGCCACCAAGCAGAACCAGGAAGCAGCCCAAGAGGACTGTAGGAGCATGGGAGAAAGGAGAAGTGGAGCCCCGGGAGTTGTGTGGGTCACCCCATCATCATCACAGGCAGCTGATGCCTGCCTGTGGGATACACAGTGCCTGGGTGGGTGGGGGTGGGGGTCCCATAGCCATTATTGCTGTACTGCTCAGAGACTCAGTGGTACATGGAAAGCTAGCTTTAGCTATAGCATATTCAGTTAAATGGAACAAATGCACCTGCTTAATTCATGTGTATATTTTGTATGTAAAAGTTCACTAAATATACTTCTATCCCTGCAGCCTTCTAGGCTCCAGAATTCTGAGAATGACCTATAGATATGTAAAGTGCCGTCTTATGGACTTTTAAGGAATCGATTCTCATTGGTGCAGCCCATGTTGTACTTGCAGACATTCAAAGGCCTACTAAGAAAGAGCAGGCTAACAGTGAGTAGCTAATTATATGCAAGTCAGCAGCAATGGATTTCCATCCATGCTCTCTGTAGCACTTCTAGTGAGATGACAGCAAGTTGGCAAGCTCTGCAGCTGGAGGCTTCTCTCTCTCTCTTCTCCATCCCTCCATCCTCCCAGGATTCCCTCTGTTAGATTACACACTTCGATGTTAGAACTGCCTCCTTTCCCCCAAACGCCATCCGAACCGCGTTGGGTTTAGGCCGTGACTGCGACAGATGCACACAGACTATAGGGTCGCATGATGCAGAGTGGGTGTTTGTTTCTGACACTGCTGTAAAATGCTAGAAACCAATCCAATGACAAGTTAATCCACTGCAGTCGTACCTATGCCAGGCCTGAGCATATTAAAGCTGCTTTAGAATGTGTTATGCTGGTGTGATTCATCGGTAAAGAAGCTAGGGATTTACTGTAATGATGAGTCACCTTGTTCATATAGACACAACAAAGTAAATGCTGAATGAAATGGTGAAAGACAACATAACTATTAAGAGGTCCTGCATGTTTCTTACAAATCAGAATCCCTGAAACACAACAAAATGGAGGCAGACAGCCCTAAATATTAACTCTACGTCTTTTGCCGGCTGCAGTTTAACCCAACTAGCAAGATAAACTCAGAAGTTACAAAGACATGCATGACAGAAAAAGCTATAACACACAATGTTAAGGAAATTAGCATGCTAGCTATTGACCTTTCTTGTATAAATGTAACTTTGTGGCCTGCAATCAGAGTTACCTAACATTATGGTGAGACAGTCAGTCAGTCATGTCCCTCACAAAAAAACAACAACGTCCTCTTCTGCCCATGCTTAGTGATGACAAGGCTTTGACATCACTGTCAGACTAAGAATGACTAAAACTGACAATCCTCTTTACCTCAGAGAAAGAGAAATAGGAAAAAAAAACACTCCGCTATTGGGGAGGGGGGAGAGACTAGTGAAAGAGGAAGGAAGGCAGAAAAGGCCTGCATGATTCACACAGCACGCACCACAGCGGCTGAGGTAGCCGTGTCTTGGAGTACATGAGTCATGTTTATCATGCAGCAGCACTAGGTAGGGATTGCACAATTTTCACTCCATTAGGAATGCTGCTGCCTTAGTGCAAATGTGTACCTGATACTGGAGAGTAACATCTCTAATGCCTCTAAAAGGCTCCCAGTGATGGTGGCACACATCTTTCACACGGATGTCACTAGCCATGCTGGTGGAGGCTGCAGCAACAGAAAAACCTGCCAGAGATCTCCAGCAGAAATTCTGATTGATTTACTCATCAGCTGCTCCCTTATGCTACATTCAAAAGCACTAGTCAAAATCCACATGTGCATCATTTTCATTGAAGAAGGCAAACTACATGAAAATCAACAGGATGGGAATATTTAAGGCAACCCTCTTTAAATCCTCCTCTCTTCACTAGCCAGGGCTTTCCTAAGAGTGCCAGACCAATATTTTAATTAACAAACCCAAGTGTGTTTTTTAATTGCCAGGGCAAGACGATAGAGTGTAATTCTCCACATAAAGCAGAGTTATGGCTCACGCGCCAACGGTTAAAGCGATTGATGGCGGTAAAATCAGTCCGGTCCCACCTTAAGAAGTAAAACCCCTACAGTGGACAGCGCCGTGGTGCTGAAACAAGCTCCGAGCGACATCTGTACACAAGAGATGGGGGGGGGGGGGGGGTTGATGGGGATGGTGATGGGGAGGGGGGGTGACAGCATCTACCTAGACTCTAACGTTTGAAATCACACACCACCCCGCGTTCGCCATTGCCACAAAGGACACCCTTAAATGATCTTTCCAGGTCATATTGTGTAATCTCGGTGACGCTCGTGGGGAAAGGTTGTAAGCAATTTGGCGTGGCCTTTTTACGTGAAAATGGCGCCCGTTGCTTGCTAAACCCAGCCCCTTCTAGTACAGCTATAGCTACAACAAAGTGGGGGAAAGCGGTCTATGAGTGTATGCCGCATTATAAAACGATACACACACATTGAGATAAGTGTTTTCAAACGGGGGGAGGCGAGAGGTGATAACCAGGCGAAGGAAAGATGGATGTCACCTTGGTGCTACCGGCTAGTAAACGACTATTTAGGATGTCAAGAGCCACCAGTATCTCACAGTGTATGAGTTGTAATAACCCACAAACAGCAACAGCTCAACTATATCCGCTTTCTCCTTACTTTAACATCGTCTGTTCCTTCGCATCCTCCTTCTTCTGTCGGTCCATGACACCGAGGATGATCTTCCTCTCATCCTCGGTGAGGTGGCTCAGGTCCGGCATGTCGCCGGCCGCTGAGGCAGCAGCAGCAGCGGCGGCAGCGGCAGCAGGGCCAGGGCCGCCCCGGGGCCCGTGTGGAGCAGACATCTTTTACACACAGCTGGCTACAATAAAAACGAGAAAAGCACTGTCAACCAGCAGCATTCCGGTCGGTATTTGTGTTACCAAGCCGTCAAATATCAGATTGGAAGTGGGGTTTGCTGGAGGTTCACAGGCGGCATGACATCTCGGTTAGGAGTAGCCTATCATACACATTGCTGCAGAAATAAGCGTCAAAATATCAATATCAGGCTTTATCCTCATCTATTAAATGCCTATAACGGGGTTATGAAACACCCTGCAGCCGAATGCAAACAGCAATATGTAGAACATTTACACATGGACATTTCTGACATAGGGTTAGAATAAGATGCCCTTAAAAGAAGCAAGAGTGCACAGGCTGTGAACTACATCCTTCAGGTATTCCTAACACAAGCCTCCATCCAGGGATACAAAAAGTAGAAACATACAGAGGTTTAAAAAGCCAACTCTTGCCTTTTATTTTGCAGTCATGTTAAATCCTGTCTAACCCATCGCTGCCATCCTTTAGAGAGGTTTCACTCGCATGGTGGAATAAAAGATGCCCGGTCCCGGTCCTTGTTTGTTTTGAGTCCTTAACCCTCCTCTGTCACTCTGGTTAGCTCTTTCCTCCAGGTTGGTAATTCTTGGAGATTTCTTAAATGCACAAAAATGGATGCAATGAGAGAGAGAGATTAGAGAGAGATTGAGAGGAGGTGAGAGAGAGAGAGGAGGGAAAAAATCCAGATAGGAAGAGGGAGGCGGAGCGATGGGAACACGTAGAGGAATAAGCCGAGAGGACGCTGGATGTTCATGACAGCAGGCGGATAGCAGCAGCGAAAACACGGACTGGAGGAGCGGTGCCAGGAAGAGCATGATGCATATTTCATAACCGGATCATGAGCACAGTGAGAGGGGAGATAAATACAGAACATGACTAGTGACAATGACTGTTACTGCAGGTGTGGCAGCGCTTCCTATCAGGCCGCTTTTTAGGCTTTGATGCCAGCTGATGGGAGAAAGGCTGTGATGATGAATGGAAGAACAAACAATTACACAAGCCCTGTCTGTGGATATTTCTTAAACAATTGTAAAAAAAAAATGTATGGACTTTAGCCAGCTCTTAGTTGCTATCAAAGAGTATATTTATAATAACAAATAATTTCACAATATTTGTTTCGATTAGTTTTGAAATCTGGTGTTGACAAGCTTTGAACAATAAACGTTTTTCACACGAGTATCATTAATCAAATCAGGATGTTTGTAACATTACGAAACACGTCTTTTATACTATTTATAATAAATAAACTTCATGTATGTGCATATATTTGATATGAGATAATTTACCAAATAGTTGATCGGGCCCCTTCTAGTATCTGAAATAGTCATTTTCCTGTGATACTATATTTAGTATGTGGTCACATGGGACTGCTGTTATCCAATGTTATCTCCTAAAAAAATATATATAGAAAAAAGGAAAGGCTGATGTGCCCAAAGACTAAATATAGTCTAGTCTAGTATTGAGTCTTCAGGATTGTGATTGGGCAAGCCTAGAGAACAATTCTGCAAAGGAAATTATAATAGGCCGAAGTAGACAGAAAGTGTTTCATGAGAATAGTGTCTGATTTAAAAAATAAAATACAGTATCTTAGGTTTCAAAGAAACAAACTAGGCCATTTAGCCCATGGACTCATCACTGAATCATGAACATAAGAGGTTGATAATCCATTCATGAAAATCAAGCAAACATACATTTCTCTAAAGCTGAACTCTTCAGGTTTCACATTGTACTGCTTCAAACTACTTTGAACCCAGCACACTCAATAGGCGACTTCATCCCTGGATCAGATTGCTCAGCTCTGACCCCAGAAGTGCCTCCTCTTGATCCCTGACCCGTTCCCAAAGACAAGCCCTCACTCAGACTGCAGTGGTAATAGGATTTAAGGACAACATTAAGTGGATGTCGCCTCTGCCTCATTAGGTCTCGAAGTAAATTAGCACCCTTGTCGAACACGATGGGAAGAAATTTGTTGTTTGAATTTACTATCATTCAGATCACAATTTCTAAACGTCATCCTGTTTGCAGAGTATAAACTTAGTTTGAAGTTTATTTTGAATACATTTAAGCAAAAACAGTGTTAGCTCCATATAGATTAAGAGAACTATGCTTTCCAAAAGTGTGTTGGATCGTCTAACATTGACCATTTTTTTTAAATAACTGACATATTTTTAATAAATCAAAGCTAGGGCTCAAAAACAATAACAGCCTACTGTTGAAAACCCTTTTTCAATTAAAGTGATAGCACGTCAAGCTAGCTGCACACTGGCATAGTAAAAATGGCTAAACAGGCATGTCCGCTGTCCAATGACTTCCTCCAGTCTGATTGAAGTGACTGGAAACACCTATGACAGTCTGATGGACCATGTGCGTAGCAGAAAGTAGGGGGGGGGGGGGTTTGGAATAATGCGAGATGCTGGATCATGGAGAGATTGTCCCAATGTTTATAACACCAGCCTCAGTTGTTCAATCTATCCCGTTGAAACAACTAAATACATCAAAAATATATTTTAGACTTCAGAAATTGTCAAAAGGAATCATTTGACGCATACCGCATCATTTAGGGCATCTTTAGTAGTTTTAATAATAACGTTTCTTTACTGATGGAACAAAGATATAACAATACCACAAGCAACACATTTCGTTTGGTCCTTGTGGTGAGTCATGTGACATTCTTTAGACACCGGATCAATCTAAAATAGTCTTTATTTTCATGGTTGTGGATCCTGTAATAGAAAATGCAAACCTGCTCAAAACTAAATGTGGGGTTAGCCACTCAAACGGAACAGAAAACAGAACTGTGTGTAAAGGAAATCCTTTGAAATGACTTTGATGTTTGCATGTATTAAGTCTGTGTGTACTCCAAATGATGCAGAACTGGACCCACAACTGACAAATGAAAAAGTTCTTAAGAGTGAAAGCAGTCGGAACATGTCCCGTGTGTGATCTTGGTCTCCACCTCTTCTTCTCTGCTTATTTGACCACAGTCACAACATGCTTCTCCTTCTCCGACACCACAGGAACAGTTCCTGGCCTGCTGTGCTTCCGGACGTTCCTCTCCCTGGAAAACAAAAGGAGTAAAAGCCGTGAAAAACTCATTCTGCTGGTGAACAATCTCAGTAAGAGGATGGAGGGAGAGATGAGCAAACAGAATTGACTAAATATAAGACTGTTGACCTAACACCTACGTCATTGGCTACACTAATGTACCCTGAAAATAATGCATGAGCAGTAAATCATTCACGGTGCAAACACAAGTGTGACGTGTCACAAAAAGAAGTAATTAGGGGAAAAAGCCGCAGACTGAGCGATGAATCACTGTGCGGCAGGGCAAACTGGGACAATCAATCCACCACACAAGCTGTAAATGAGTATGTAGAAGCTATTGAGAGCGTGTCATAGGGACAGTCCCTTCACTGAGGTTTTCCATTAGGCTGCTGTGACTGCATAGGTCACATCCAGCCTGGCAGCAGCCCAATTCACCTCCACATGGACACACAGGGGGCCATGCCTCTAGATAAATTAGCTTCATTTCTTCTCCAAAAGTAAAAGGGAAAATAATGAACACGTACTTCTTGCGGCGAGCCTCCTTCATGACCCGCTGCTCCCTGGTCTGGTGGTAGATGATCTTGGGGAGGTGTCGGTGGTTGGCGATACGTTTGATCTGAGGGTGGTGCTGGTACTTCTCCTTCAGCTTCTGGCTGTAGTTGGCGGCCTGCCTCTCTCTGGGGGCGAGCTGCATGACAAAAGGGAGGAGGGTTGGTCAGGTACAGTTTTATAATAAGAGAAAGTGTAGAGGGGGGAGAGTGGATTGAGAGACAGAACAAGACATGAAAAAGACAATTTAAAGATTATATTAATTCTTTGTTGAAGCAGGTACAAAATATTGAGGTGTGGACCAAAGATTATTTTAGGTGAACATTAAAGTAAACTTTTAAAAAAGGTAGAAAACTTTCTCGTTAACAATTTGCGAGCAAGTTCTCAAAACGTAACAGAATTGTATCATTGACCTTGGAAGCAGTTAACAAAATCGTTATGTTACCAAAGCTCAAATGGGCCTTGTGGAGAAACTATTTTGTCAACTACTTGGTTAAGTTTAGGCCACTGTTGAGGTTAATACTACATGAACACAACATGGCTGTTGGTGGGAAACACATCCCAATAACATTCATTTCAAAAAAGAGAAAAGCACTTTTACAAAAAGAGAATAATGCAGGATTATTCTAAGGAGAAAGAGGAAGAAACATTTAAACAGAGCTGCAGATGGCTAGAGGCTGCAGTCAGTCTGGTAGTGAGGTTCAATTTATAGCCCAGACTGTAGTCAGTGTTTTCATCAAGTTCTTGGCAAGATCGCAAATAAGCTTATCTCCCAAAATGTTGCATCTGAGACACAAAAATCGTAATTCACAAGGCCACAAGTCGCCTTTACAAAAAAAACTAAAAATAGGTCTTGTTTTAAAATAAGAAAGTATAAGTATCTAATGTTTTTGCCCTGGTTCCAGATATGAGTATTTCCAGTAGACCGTAGTAGCGTGGAGAGAGCGCTGATCACGATGTGCAGTTAGCATTCAGCTCAGGTTGTTAATTACCGACGGTTACAGTAAACCGTCTTACATCATAAAATCCTGACCAGTACAGTAAGCAGTAACTTCAGCTCGACGTTGTGCTCATTCAAAATAGAATCAATGTCTGTTCAAAAGTGAAGACACCAGCTCAACAACATCCCTCCCTCTCCGTCTCTCTCATAAAAGCCGCCGTCTACTCGGACTCCTCTTGGCTCAGGCTGGCCTCCTCGAAGGCTTTTATTCTAATTAAAAGCAGTGATTTGTCTCAGATTCAATTTGCTGGAGAAGAGCTGCGAGATGCTGATCCTGTCGTACTAAACTCATTCCCCTGGATACACACAGGGTGAGCTTGCTGAACACAGTTTGTATGCTCTCAACATGATGGATGTGAGAGAGCAGAAGATGATGCTTCACATGGAGTTTGGTCAGATAGGGGCTCATGATTTGTATATATTTTTGCAAAGACAGTCGCAGAAACATGGGATTCCATAAGTTAAAAAAACAGAGGCATTACTTCTCCGGGTGCTCTTGCAACTAGCACAATGCACATGGTGCTGAGGAAGAGTGAGTGCACCGTAGAGACAGCTATTAGAAAGACTACAGCTAAGTGCAAGTAGTAACTGATGCCTAACTGATGCTTTAAGACGGGATAAAAGAACCGTAAAAGTACAATGTCCACTGCAGAGATACTTCAACATTTCTTTTACAAATAAATTCAAAAAAGTACAAAGAAACGTGTCCTAACTGCAGATCGGGTTTGGATGGAAAATGCAGCAACAAACAATGGGATACATTGAGAGGAGATACCACTATGTCAATGATTTTGCAAGCAGACGTCAGATCATGAAGATAACATTGTTCTTGTAGACAGTGGCAGAGATTGGGCATTCCATCAGCTACGATATCACTGCATTCACCAAATCAATTGCTGATGTCTTACTGACAAGTCTGACGAGGCAAAACAAACAAGCAGTCATGGTTGTACAGGTCATTTGAGTGAGAAGAAACAGTTTTGCCATATTATCTTAATTATGCTCATAATGTTAGTAATAGTACCTTCTTGCAA